AATTTCAAACAAAAGACTTGGGAAAGTTGAGATACTTCCTTGGCATTGAGGTCGCACAGTCTGCAAATGGAATTGCTCTCTCACAAAGAAAGTATGCCTTGGATATTCTTGAGGAAACAGGGTTGCTAGATTGCAGGCCAGTGGATACACCGATGGATCCGAACGTTAAACTCTTATCAGAACAGGGAGATCTTTTGCCCAACAAGGAGAAATATAGAAGATTGATCGGCAAATTGAATTATCTTACCATCACGAGACCAGATATCTCATTTGCGGTAAGTGTCCTTAGTCAGTTTCTTGATAAACCATGTACTGGACACTGGGATGCAGCTATCCGAGTTTTGAGATACATCAAGAAAAGTCCAGGGCAAGGATTGTTGTTCGAAGATCGAGGCCATCACGATATTTTGGGATATTGTGATGCAGATTGGGCCGGATGTCCGATGGATAGACGTTCCACATCGGGATATTGCATCTTGATTGGTGGAAACTTAATTTCATGGAAAAGTAAGAAACAGGATGTGGTTTCCAGATCTAGTGCTGAAGCAGAATATCGTGCAATGGCCCTTGCTACATGTGAAATCTTATGGTTGAAGCATCTCCTCCAAGAGTTAAAATATGGAAACACAAAACCGGTTCAACTCATGTGTGATAATCAAGCTGCAATGCACATTGCATCAAATCCGGTATATCATGAGAGGACGAAACATATTGAAGTTGATTGTCATTTTATCCGAGAGAAGATCACAAGTGGACATATCATCACCAAATATGTGAACACAACTGAACAACTTGCAGATATTTTAACTAAGTCTCTCAGAGGTCCTAGAGTGGGATATATTTGTAACAAGCTTGGTACATATGATTTATATGCTCCAGCTTGAGGGGGAGTGTGAAAACCCTAGTAGTATTGGGCTTAGCCCATTTGTATATCTTGTATAGAAAACCCTAGAACTCTAAATATAGCTATAAATATAGCTTCTTGTATAGCACTTTATTATCAAGAATATGAAATACAACAATACTTGTTCACAGTTTCCAATTACTATAATGTCATCAACATAGATTAGAAGGTATATTTGTATTCCAGAAGATACAAATATAAGCAGAGAAGGATCACATTTACTCTGTTTAAAGCCAGCATTGTAGAGAACTGAAGTCAATTTCTGAAACCAAGCCCTGGGAGCTTGTTTCAGTCCATAAAGGGACTTGTGAAGTTTACAGACTAGAGAAGTATCTTGGACCTGAAAACCTGGGGGCTGTGTCATGTACACCTCTTCTTCTAGATCCCCATTGAGAAAAGCATTATTTACATCTAGCTGTTGAATAGACCAGTTGCAAGAGACAGCTAGAGTAAGTAAAATTCTGATAGTTATTGGTTTGACAACTGGAGAAAATGTTTCTCTAAAGTCAAACCCATACCTCTGGTGAAACCCCTTAGCAACAAGTCTTGCCTTATATTTGTTTAATGAACCATCTGGGTTTTCCTTGATTCTGAATACCCATTTGCAGCCTACAGCCTGTTTGGCTGGTGGCAGGGGAACTAGAGTCCAGGTGTTGTTATTGAGAAGGGCATCATATTCTGACTTCATAGCTGCAAACCAATCAGGAGAAGCAAGTGCTTGCTTAACTGATTTAGGCTCAGTATGGGCCAATAGCAAGGTTGGATGTAGTCTTGGTTTCACAATTCCAGATTTAGCTCTTGTAGTCATGGGATGGGTGTTAGTGATGGGAGAAGGGGATGGTGAAGATGATGTGGAAGAAGATGATGATAGATCAGGCTGAGTGGATTGATTAAAGTGAGTTGAAAGAGGTGTTGATGAACTGGTAGAAACACTTTGGGAATCAGTTGACTGAGATTGATGGGAGTGTGAGTTGGTTGGAGGAGAATGGGAGCTGGAGGATAAATTTGGTGGAAGAACAGTAAGAGGAGCAGTGTTATAGGATGAAGTTGTGATAGGCTGTGATTTAGTAGATGAGAAGAGAGTGGAGTATGGAAACTTTGACTCATGAAAGATGACATCTTTGGATATATAAACCTTTCCAGATTTAGAAAGGCATTTGTAGCCCTTGTGTTGAGAGGAGTAACCTAGAAAGACACATTCTTCAGAATGAAAGTCCATTTTGTGCTTGTTGTATGGTCTTATGAATGGATAACATGAGCAACCATAGACTTTAAGAAAGAAGTAGTCAGGTAGTGATCCAAATAGTTTGAAATGAGGACTAAAGTTATTAATGGATTTAGATGGAGTTTTGTTAATGAGATGTACTGCTGTGGCAAAGGCAGAATCCCAAAACTTGAATGGTAAGGAAGAATGAGCAAGAAGAGATAAACCTTTTTCAACTATAGTACGATGTTTCCTTTCTACAACACCATTTTGGTGGTGTGTATGTGGACAAATCAGTCTATGTGTGATGCCTTTTTGTGTTAGAAACTAAGTGAAAGAACTAAATTCTCCTCCCCAATCAGATTGCAGGGATTTTATGGATACAGAGAACTGATTAAGCACATATTGATAGAAATTTTGGAAAGCTGTAAGTGCATCTGATTTCTTTTTAAGAAAATAGATCCAAGTATACTTTGTGCAAGCATCAATGAATGAAATATAATATGAGTAGCCATCAAAAGATAAAATGGGAGCTGGACCCCAAAGATCAGTAAACACTAATTCAAAAGGTGAATGGTATTCAGTAATAGAAGTGTGGGATGGCAACCTATGTGCTTTGCCTAAACAACAAGCAGGACAAAACTCAACATTATATTTATTGATAGGTTCAGCATTACAATGTTTGAGTACAGATTTGAGTGCTTCAAGATGAGGGTGACCAAGCCTCAAATGCCACAGATTACAATCAACTAAAGGAGTACATGATTGAGATTTATTACAAGTAGAAGTATAGGAGGACATATTTGTAAATTGAGTAATAGGACTGGACTGAGGAGAACTGAGGACTGAAAACTTTTGAAACTTGTACAGACCATCTTCACCAAGAGTGCCATGTAATAGAACCTGTTTAGAAACCTGTGATTTCACAAAGCACTCATGAGGATAGAATTCAAAGAATACATTGTTGTCTTTTGCAAATTGACTAACACTCAAAAGGTTTTTGGTGATAGATGGGACATGAAGAATATTGTTTAAAGCAAGGTATTGAGAGGAGTGAAAAGGTGAGGAAAAGGAAGAGTGTCCAATGGACTTTATTTCCAAACCTTGGCCATTGCCCATAAAAAGCTTATCAGTTGTTGCAAACGGCTCACTGTGCTGAAGGTTTAAAGGGTCTGAGGTCACATGATGCGTTGCTCCAGAGTCAGGAAACCAGGTTTGAGATGATGGTCCTGGTCCAAGGATGGATGAATGAGCAGTAGCAACAGCTGCAGTTGGTGTAGGGTTTGTAGACTGCATATTCCAGTTGAGAGCTTCTGGAGTAGAGTTGTTAAATCTGGAGTGAGAAGGTTGAAGATTCCAATGATTTGGAGGATTTGAGTGTGCAGTTTGCTGAGAAAACTGAGGGTAATTAGGGTAGTGAAATTGAGTTGGATTTGGGTAAGCAGGTGGCGGATAAGGGTAATTAGTATAGTTTGAGGATGATGAGTGTTGGTTCCAAGGGTTAGAGGTTGCAGAATTTGAATTGTTATAGTTGGGAGTAGGTGCAGCATAGGCAGGGTTATGCCTGTGATAACAATTCAAGGCATTGTGGCCAGATTTACCACAGACTTGACAAGAAACAGAATTCCGACCTCCAAAACGGCCACCACGACCTCTGGTGATGCCTCCGCGACCACGTCCCCTGTAGGGAGGAGCAGACATCTGATTTTGAAATTGAGCAATATTTGCAGAAGAATTTTCTGAAATTTGTGAAGAAACAGGTTCAGTGTTTGGAGTCGGAACTTCCGCGCGAGCCAAATTAGCAGAAAAAAGTGTTTGTGAAGATTCACGTAACTTCTTTTGTCGTAACTCCTTTGCCAGTAACAGCGACTCAAGCTGAGTTACTGGATCCAAGATGCTTCGAGAAGCCACAGAAGAGACAAGCGATTCATACTCCTCCGGAAGTCCTTCCAGGATAACATTGATATGGTCCTTGGTTGATATAGGCTCACCAATGTTCATCAAGCTGTCAACAATATTCTGAATTCGAAGAAGATATTCTGTGATCGAGCGATCACCCTTCCCGGTAGAGTAGAGCTCAGATTTGAGCTGTCTAGCTCTGGCAACAATATTCGCCTGAAAGAATTTATCGATTTCATTCCATAGTTGGTATGAGTGTTGACAGTGAATGACTCGTGTATGAAGAGATTCAGAGAGCGATGCCAAAAGCCACGAAAAAAGCATCTGATCTTGTTGTTCCCAAGTTGCGTAGGCATCGTTCTCGATTTTCGTACCTGCTTCCTCACCGGCGATGAATTTCTCAGGAATCTCAGGCTTCTCAACAAATTTAAGAAGCTTGTGAGCACGAATTACAGAACGAACGTGATGTTTCCATAGGAGGAAATTGTTTGAATCAAGCTTGATAGGTAAGGGATGATTGAATGTGATCGGAGTTGGGGTATTACCAGAAGTTTTGGAAGAAACGGAATTCGAGTCTGAGTTCGTCATGGAGGAACGAGTCAGTGCTCTGATACCATGATAGAAATAGGAAAAATCAATCTTATTCAATTAAGGGAATGATACAAGTATTTATAGACTAATGAGTTTAACAAACTGATCAACAGACTGATCAGTTGACCAAACTGCTAACCACTTAACCGTGTATTCGGTACAAAGACTAGGCTATTTACAATATTTGGACTTAGTACAATCTTCCTAATACCAAACAACTTTAGTTCAAGTATTGCTCTCTTTCATGAGTATATTTCACTTCATATAAACAACTCTTCTTATCACCTATTTCTCTCTTTTTATTTTCTCACCAACCTACTTCCACTCATGTTTCTCCTCCCTACCCAATCACAACATAAACCACCTTAGTATATCTAATAGTGCAAATGCAGTATTACTTACAGTAGCAATTTCGTGAGCCTTAGCCCCAAGAAGTGCGACTATGACAGTCGACAAAATGACTGATGTCAGTGGTGCTGCCGCTGAAATCCAAAAGAATTTTGGTTTCCAAATGCTCTGCGTTGGGAGTAAAAACATGAGGAAACCCATAAGTCAGAACAAAACAGGCAAAAACTAGTGAACAAACTGCACTCAATTAAAACTGCAGATTTGGTTGTTTCATGAGGAATTTAATTGAGAATAGCTTACTCACAAATTGCCTCGCTGTCAACATGAGTATGAGGAAAAGCATTCCTATCACAATAGTTTGCCAAGACCACTGAACGCAAAACATCAACATCAGAATTAGTTTGCATTATGGTCGTCCGTACATATGGTTCTGACTCTCAACTAGACTTCTCTACGTAGTTATATCCACAGTCCATTTTGTGAGGGTCAAATTTGGCCAAACTGATTGAACTTCTTGAGGGTGTGACTTGAACAAAATACGACTTTCCAGTGTTGGCAAGGGAAAACATTTTCTGGCAAATTTTCACTGAAGGAAGATATTTACTTTGATTCATTAAACCTTTGTGGAAAATGAATTCCCGTTTTGAAAACAGAAGAGCTATTCTCCTTTAACAGTGGTATGTTTTTCATATTTGTTAGTACAACATTAGCATACAGATAAACAACTTTTCCTTCAAAAAACATTTGCATATATTTTCCAGTACAAGTTACTTTCCTCCAAGGCTTCAATCAAAGGATCATTATCCTTCCATGACTCTTATCTGGTTTAATGAAGAAATAAACTTCTTTCTGGTTCCGTACAACAGGAAAAAAAGGATAAAGAGAAAAAAAGAAAAAAAATGGGAAAGGTGGATCCTGAATTGCAGTATTTTTCATCTATTATGAGAAAAGCATCCTGCCAAACAACATTTTCTACTTTGCATCTATTTCTTCTTTCATTATCTCTAATTTCTTGGCTCCAATCAAAAGTAGCACTAGTGATTCTAAACGATGATGATGTTACGTTAAGAGCCTGATTGGGAGATTATACATGAAAAAATTATCAACTTCACATTCTAGTTAACAATATTTTAATGAATGAAGTAGTTCTATTTAAACAAGCCACAAGAGTATTGGTGGTATATTAATAATAGATTAACACAAAGACCTATAACCAAGCATTCCAGCTCGCTGGATGGGAGGTTACCGTATCTAGCTAAGGTCTCGGGTTCGAAACCCGCTAGGCACATAGGGGCTTGAAACTTAATGGGCTGAGTTTCAGCCCTCATTACTCCAGGTCCCCCCAGACCCCCCTGGAGTATTTAAAAAAAATAGACATGTGCTTATGGTACAGCTTATTTTATGCACCGCTTACTAACACATGTCTTAAGTTTAATAACCTGCAAAGTAAACATATCCTAATTCTTTGTTGATTTTTTTAAACGTATAAGTTTGATTTAAATAGAATATTGTATATATATATATATATTTTGTATATATGAATATATGAATATATGAATATGAAATTACAATTTTTAGGCCTCTTTCATTTGAGGTGCTTTCGGGTCGAATTTTTTTACGAAATTTTGTGAGCATGTTCTCTATGAAGTGTAGATTATGTCCACCAAATTTCAATCGGGAAGTCAATTAAATAAATTATTGAAAAAAATTGCATGTTTTATGTACAAAAAACTGAACGATTTTCAAAAATTTATTTAATTGGCTTCTCGATCAAATTTTAAGCTAAACTTTGATAGACATAATATACAGTTCATGGAGAACATGCTCACAAAATTTCTTCAAAAAATTAGTCCCGGAAACACCTCAACTAAAAGAGGCCTAAAATTGTAACTTTTAGGCCTATCTTACATGGATATTTTCCTATACATATGTGCATCTATATATATCTATAGGGTGGGGTTCAAATAAGAAGAGTGTGACATGAGAAATTCGAAATTTCACTTCACTTCATTACATTGCACTTTTACACAAATGTCACCGCGTTTTAAATACAATATGGTGCATTGTTGTCAATTTTAGAGACGTTAGATCCTTAACTCGTTGCACGAAAATCATTCTCATTTTTCACATTAAAATCAATTTTATTTGATCCAAACCTATAATTATATATAGAGAGGAATGATCTTGTCCAGACAGAACCTCCGTCCCGCCATTGCGTTCAAATCGCCGCTGCCATTTGAGATGGTTCCCGGTGATTTTTTTGATGAAAACTTGTGAGCATGATTATCATGAATAATAGATTATGTCCACAAATTTCAGCTTCAAATTCAATCAGAAAGTCAGTTCAATAAGTTATTGAAAAACATTGTGCCAAAATAAATCAGTGTTTTTCAATAACTTAATTAACTGACTTCCTGATTGAATTTTGAGCTGAAATTTTGTGACATAATCTACACTACAGGAAGCACATTTTTACAAAACTTCATCAAAAAATTCAACTGGGAACCACCTCAAATGACGGCGGCCGGGCGGCGAACGGACGGCGGTGATGGCTGGATAGGGTTTTTTTTGTGTGCGTATATATATATATATATATATGTGTGTGTGTGTGTGTGTATATATTATATATATATATATATAATTTGGATCAAATAAAAAAAAGTTTTAACGTGTAAAATGAGAATTAATCTCAGCCTTCCAAAGTGTCGATCTGATGCACAATAACCCTTATCTGATGCACTTTCCGAAAAGTGCATCAAATAAGGTCTATTCGAAAGTGCATCAGATAGGGGTTATTGTGCATCAGATCGACACTTTGGACGGCTGAGATTAATTCTCATTTTACACGTTAAGATGTCTTCTCATTTGAACTCATCCCTAGAGTGGGTCCGGTAAGAAAGGACTTCTAGGAGAAAATGAGAACGAATCTAGACCGTTGGATTGTGTCCTGTGAAACTGAATTGTACACTTGGTGAAATAATGCTATATATATAGTAACCTCCTATCAGGACTTCCTGATCGGGACTGCCGTCTAGAACGCCTCCATTTGGAAAAGTGCATCAGATAAGAATTATTATGCATCATATTGACTTTTTGGACGACTGAGATTAATTTTTATTTTACACATTAAGACTTTTTTACACTACGCCTTACGATAGTGAAAACCTTGGATGGCTATTAGTTTTTTTAAACATAGAACTTTTTTGAATAAAAATTCAAATAAAACTAAATCAAAAATAATTTTTAATAATTGTTACATACTACTACCTCCGTCCCCCTAAGATTAGGACAAATGAGAGTGGTGCAATTTTAAGAAAACTAGAGTTATGTGATTGATAATGAAATAATAAAGTGAGAATAAAGTAAGAATGAATTAGAGCCACACAAATATTACCAAATATGATATGGGACAAATTTAGTGGGAAGGAAAAGGAAATGGGACAATTATAGTGGGACAATTATAGTGGGACGGAGGGAGTAATACATTTTAGATGGAAAATATATTTAAAAATAATTATATGAATTAATTTAAGCCCATCCGTTTGGACCTACATATTATGGGTTTGGACGAGTCTAGACCGGAATCGGAAACTTCAAAAAACTTGAATCAAAGACTAGACCAGTACATGTAAGTAAGTATGAAACCACAGGGTCCAGCCTAGGCTTATCCATCCAATTCAATTTTGGTTTTCATATTATTACCTCATCCGTGCGATGGAAAACTGAGGACAAAACAGGAATAATTTGCATCTTATTAGTGAAATGGACAATCCCAAGCAAGCCTTTCAATTGTTGCAAAGAAACAATGACCGCAGCTCCGGACATGAACCCCAAAAGAGTGGGCTTTGATAGAAAATCTATAAGGAATCCCAACCTGCAAAAAAAACCACTCTGTTGCTAAGCTAAAGGAAAACACTCCTAAAAGTAAGACACATATGGTGGTGGAATTCCATCAACTTTTCGAGGTAGCGCTCTAAAACATGCTTGGAAGGCCACCTTCAAGCGTAGGGGATGCAAGATCTGTAATTTGCTACAAAGACCGTCTATACATATAAGAAAGATTTAAGGAATAAGAAAAAACCTGAAGAAGCCCAAAGAAGCTTGAAATATTCCAGCAACAAATGTGGACGTGAAAGCCAATTTAAGGTAGAGAACATGGTGGTCTTCACCATATGGAAGTGCCTCACTAAGCATTGTGCCCATGACAAGAGAGGCTATGGACACCGGCCCCACGGCCAGATGCCTAGAACTCCCGAGAACAGAGTATACCAGCGGCGGGACGAAACTGGAATCTGCATGCGCCCAACCAACCAAAAAAGGAAGAAAGGCAGGCATTGAGAATTAAGATCGAGCAATAACAACTCGAGTGCTTATATATACTTACAGAGTCCGATGATAGGTGGCAAATTTGCAAGTTTTGCATAACTGATGCCTTGAGGGATGGCAAGGCTGGCAATTGTGAGGCCGGCTACGACATCAGCACGCAGAAGCCGGAGATTATAATTCGGGCCCCACTCCAGAACCGGGAAGAAAAACTGGAGACTCAAAAGCAGTTTCTTAACCCTCGTTTGGCCTTTGAACCTGTGGAGAGGATCGTCGGGGAAGAAGATATCTCCCAATCTCTGCCTTAGTTTCCGGGCGGTTGTCCTGTGCGGGGGCACACAAACTCTGTGCAGTTCCACGGTCTGCGGCGGCGTCTCCGGCACTCCGGGCATCGGTAAGACGGCGTCGTTGCATGCACGGTCTGGAAAATCTTCCACTCTCATTTGCTGCAGCAGTGTAAGACGGAGTGATGTGATTCGATTCCGAAGACGAATTGTAGAAATTGGAATTGAATTGGGGTTTACCGAAATCAGAGGACGGACTGGTTCCGGCAATTATGTAGCAGCTTTTTATAGATGCTCCAGTGGATTCCGGCAATTGTAATGACAAGTATCAATTCTTCCTTATCTTTCCTTTCTCTAAAAGTATGGATTCCAGCAGCTTTTTTTTTTATCTTTCCTTTCTCTTATCATACTTTAATTAATTAATTAATAGGCCTTTTCTGATCCCTAAATTAAAGTTATTCCAATGAAAAATAAAAATAAAAAAAATAGGCCTCAGCCAAAGAAAATGCCAATATGCAAAAACAAATGTCGTTGTAATGGCATATTGTAAAGCAAAATTTGATATTGTTAAATAGTAAAGAGTCATCTTTATGATTTTTTCATAGAAAGATGACATGTTAATGTAAGATGACATTTTTTCGATCGGATATGACATGTTGTGAGGTGGAAAATGAAGTGACAGAGACATACATATTAGGTGTTTTATTATTTTTTTTTTTTATTTTTTACCTTTTTTATTTTCTAATTTTTTATTTCTATTTAATTTTATTCGACTCATGCATTTTATGACAAATTTATAAATATTTTTATTATATTTATGTTTGCATTATAAATAAAACTATGACTTTGTTATTAATACTATAATTTAATAAATACTATGACTTTGTTATTAATACTATATTTTTAAAATTCTTTCTTTCTATTAAGTGTTGAATTAATTAAGTTTGGACTTGATACTTGAACTTATAAGAGCTTCAAAAAGTACTTATTGCTTGTGCTTTGAATTTTTGACGTTTTTGCGTTGTAGAAAGTAAGTTGCATGTGTTAATTTTTTTTATGCAAAAAATTATGTTTAGGAACCGATAAAAGTAAGAACCGAACCGTTTACTATTGGTTCGGTTCTATAATGGTTCTTGAATTTTTAGATAAGAAACGAACAGATTTGATTAGTTAAATTTTTTGTAACGGTTCATCTAATTTCTTATAGGAACCGAACCGGTCTCAGCCCTACTGTTTTCCCGGCCGGCCTATCACTCTAGTTGAGAGCTTGCTTACCAATCTAGTCGGGAGCCTATCTACCAGTCTGGTCTAAAGCATGCCTAAAAGCCCAAACGGCTGACCTGCCAACCTAGCCAGGATCTGGCCTACCAGCCAGGCCGAGAGCTTGCACACCAGTCTAGCAAAGAGTTAAGTAAAGATTACACTGTAATTATACAAAAGCTAAGTAAACACAATGCAAAAGCTTTCTAAATGTGATTTTAACCACTACAAAATAGTATTACCTCCGTCCCACTGATATTGGGACGGAAGGGAGTGACACGTTTATTAAGAAAAGTGGTTTTGTGTCATTGATTGTAATTTTTAAAATTTAGAAACGAATCTATATGTACATGCTAAGATTTTTAGTACAAATAGTAGTTTATATTAAACTAGGTTTCAAGCCCGTGCGATGCACGGGCAGTACATAATTTAGCTAATTTTAAATTTGTTTTTTTCGAAATTATATATAATGTGATGCAAAAGCAAAATAAACTCAATCTAAATATAGAGTTCGCTTGATAATAGTAAAATTAGCGGAATCAGCTTATTTTACTGAAATTGATTAAATTCAAGTAGAATGGGCTGAATAGGCAGAATCTCTCGAATCACAAAAAAAATTAAAAAAAATTTCACTTGTAAAATAAAGAACCCATTATATGGAAAATATTCAAAATGTTTTTTTACATAAGCATCTCAACTAAACATAATTGTGGTGAACCCAATTTTATAAAATTCACAAAGAAGCTTCTTAATTAATCTCATGTCTTCTAAATTACTCCGAAATTGAGGTGCATAATATATGAAGATGTAGAAAAACACGAAGTATTAACATAGTTTCAAATCAGTAGCTTAAAATTTTAATTATGATCTCAACATTGAGTTTAGAAGAATAAAGTATAACATTTTAGGAAATATGACACTTTAACACCATTTTTTATATATAAATAATTTTGATTACAAAATAAATAGCAATTTGGCTGATTTATCTATTTGTTTAAGGAACTGATTTATCTGTTAAGTGAGAAAAACAAAGATACTTTATTTCTTCAATAAAATGTAATAAAAATAAGAAGTATAAAAATAATCAAAAAAATATATACGTGGTTATAAAAAGTACTCCATATAAAATGTAGTCTCATTAATTATTGTGATTTCATGTAACCAATTTCATAATTGATAAGTACGTATTAGGTTTTGAAAAAGTTTCCAATTAAGGTGAATTTTTATCATAAAGTGTTTTGTTTCCATATCAATATGCAATAAAAAATAGAATCTAATAAAATAAATTAAAGATATGGAATATTAAAAACTTAAATAATGGATGACATGGCGTGATTATGTGGCTCTTTGTATGCTCTTAAAAAGTTCATCTTTTATATATATATTGATTTTCTAATGTTACTTTATTTTATTACCAATTATATGGAGTCTAAAGTAACATGAATCACGGGTGATTGAATGGTTGTGATTTCTAGAATATTTATAGAAACCAAATTGTCTCTACATGGTAAGTTTTTTGCTACCAATTAGTAATTATATACAATAATTTATATTATTACCATTTATGTGGAGTAAAAGTAATATTGATGGAGCATAAGAGTGAATGGGTGTTCATAAGAGTGACACGTGGTAAATGTGTGAAGGATTGACATGTGGCAAAAAGTTCCACCAATATGACTCTTCAGACTCTTGAATGTATAATATATAAATAGATATAGATATAGATATAGTTCTCTAGAATATTTATAGAAACCATTTTATATATACATGGTAAGTTTTTACTACCAATTAATAATAATGTACACTAATTTATATTATTACCATTTATGTGGAGTAGAAGTAATATTGATGGAGCGTGAGACTGAATGGATGTTTGTAAGAGTGACACGTGGCAAATGTTTGAAGGAATGACATGTGGCAAAAGCTTATGACTCTTGATTAACCTTTTTCGTAATGGACATATATATTGTGTGTTAAAGGATCTTTTTAATTAAATTAGAGGCAATTAAGAAAATTACACTGTAGGTGGAATTCATACTTTTATTATTTTATAAATATTGTGTTTTTAACATATAAAAATGTGTGTATGTAGATTTTGGAACAAATGAAAATAAGTCTTACTCTATTTTGTAACATTGAAATTGATTGAATCGACTTAATCTGTCAAAATTGATGAAATGCTGGTTGACTTGGTTAAATCTATCAAATTATACTTAATATAGTTTCTCCATTTCAGGTTCACAATTCTGTTATTATTTTCAACACAATAGTGGTTGTGTTCGGCATGCGTACTCAACCAAAAAAGAGCTAAAATCTTCTAAATTCAATCAATTTTCATTAAAGAAGCATTATTTGTTTAAAGGGCTAAATCAAGCTTGAACGAAAATAAATTTGTTGAACCTAAATGTTCAAGGAAGAATCGTTTACATCCAACCCCTTCTTTCTAGACATCTGATTCCCATAGTACTCCTATTCGGGGAAGATAAAATATGGAGTTCTGTTTGTGTAATACTTCAATGTTTTAATCTCATTTAGTGCAAATTTCTATTCCAATAATATGTTAGAATAATTTTTCACTTTATTCCAACTTTATAAAGTGAATACTATATTATTCCAACTTTATAATGTGAATAATATACTATTATCATACGGCACTAAAAATTCTTGGCCGATAGACTTGTTTATTGGAAGTCGAATATGTCCAAAAATACACCATAGACAATAAAGAGCTCACAACGAATTATCAAATTTGACATTTGATTGTAGAAAGTGGTGTCTTTTGGCTCATTTAACAAAATGGTTTGATCCGTTTGACCTCTCTTAGAAAGTAAGTCCTCCAACTCCTTAATCTTAGAATATATATTTTTTTTGGTAAAGGGTAATTATATAAATCAACCAAAAGAATTTATGTACAAGTAAAGCAGAAAAAGGGGGAGCAAAAATGGGGCTATCCCAACATGGGATATAACGTAACCTAAGCGCTATACAATCACGCCCAAAAAAGACACAATATAGGGGTGGTGAACCCCTTCACCACATTAAGAGTCAAAAAGCAATAAGTTCATGGGGGTAAATACTATGTATTGGATCTTATACACCATGTATTGGATCCTAGCAAAAACATCCTCCTCATGAGCTTGGGAATCATCAAATATAGTTGCATTCCGCACTCTCCAAATCCAGTATATAGTGTAGATGAAGGCTATTCAGACTGTTTTGGCCTTGATTCCCGCACCTGCATGGTCCTTCTTGATCCACTTAGATCTCCTTAATCTTAGAATATAATTTTGCAACGTTGAGTTTGAAGATGTTCACAATTGGTTGTTATTGTGATGTGTTTAATTTGAGAAGTTTTCAATTGTTTAGTTAAGTCACATAGTCGTGTTTCCAAGTGTTCTAATTTAAACTAAGCTTGGTGCTCTTATTCTATAAATTGGTTAAACGAACCGTGAAAACTGAAAAAATATTTTTCGATCAAGTCTTTTCTAAGAACACTTTCATTATTGGCGAGATGAGATTCTAATTCCTTAATAGTTATACGTTCATCACTCAAGTAAGAGGTTTTATCTTGTGAAGAACGTATATGATCAATGAAATTCGAATAAGAAGTACTTACATTGAGCTCATCAGTTGACATTTCAGCACATTGGTAATTACACATCGTTGATGAGCTAGAGGAGGCATCCATTGTTGATTGAATTATATGCAATTTTCTGGACCTTGGGAGTGTGTTTTAGACAAGCTTTGACCTTTGGTTTGAATTTGGGAGAACTGAGCTCTGTTTTGACCTTGACCTTGGTGATTCACAATGTTTCTCAGAAAATAAAAGAAATCTTAAACAATGAGGGAGAGTGACAGCGCGGGAGATTTAGTCGGGGTACTCGGGGACTGCATCTATCTTAAGAGTCCATGTTCGCTCATCGATCAAAAAATCAATTCGATCTGAAGTCCCCTCAGTTGCAAATAATCTCCACATTCTTCACAAATATACTGTTTTGAGCTCATTTTGTAAAGCCTTTATTCGTAATTTGTGTGGAGCTAGATGAGAAGAAACTCTCACATCTGGTTCTGTAGTAGAGATGGAATAAATAAAAATCCAAAAAAGGAAGAGACTCATAGAATGACAGAGTCAAATAGAGCCT